CATACATCAAGAGACAAATCATACAATATTATAGTACCACAAAATATGTATATATTAGTCGTGATCAGAAAGCCTACTTTCTAAAACTATGGTCCAGCCTCCACATGCTATTAGAACCGTTGAAATAGGTAAATTATTTCGATGTATATGTAACAATGTTGACACCGTATAATTATACTAAAGTATTATTGATTATTTATTGAGACCCTACATGTTTGCATTGAACTAATACTTGTACAGAATATACGTCAACTTGTATGTATACCTGAAAAAAAGAGAAAAAAATAATAAGAAAAAATAAGAAAATCTTATTATAGAAGTTCAACTTATAACATCGCCTAGTATCAAAAGGATTAACCTTCCGTGAAGTATCAATAACGAAAAAGACGACACATTTTGGGCGCCTAGTCTGACAGAACTCTACGTGTAGTATTGCAACACGATTAGAGTTCGCACTCCACAACTGATATCCTGGAGATCATATTACTGGAGGAATGGCTAGATTTCTCAGAGCAGCAAAGTGATCATGAGTTCGGTCCTTCCAAGATTGTCCATTGTGGTCTGCCAAGAAGAAATGTAAAACCCAACACACAGCTACAAAGATGTTATATTCCCATCTTTAGCTTTTGACAATGTGACTGACTGACTGAGTATGGTTTTACGCCGCTTTTAGCAATATTCCAGCAATATCACGGTGGGGGACACCAGAAATGGGCTTAACACATTGTGCCCATGTGGGGAATCGAACCCGGGTCTTCGGCGTGACGAGCCAACGCGTAAACCACTAGGCTACCCCACCGCCCCTTGACAAAGTGAGGGAGATATGATGTGATATATGATAGATATAATATGATATTATATGAATCGAAAACTGACAAGAACTGAGTCAGAAACTTACTTATTCAGCAAGAAAATGAGCAATATGTAGGAATTCATGTTTGCAGTTTTTTATGAGACACGCAGGTGTATTGAATAGTATGTACATAAAATAACATCGCTTTTCTACTGGTAAATGCAAACAGTCATCAGAAATATTAAATAAACAAAACTGGGTTCAATTATCATATCTGAAAAGTGTCAATACCTCTGCCTGCTTATGACCGTTTAAATTCAGGAAGCTGACTGCGCTTACTGAAAGTAAGAACAAGTTAGAGGGTTCTTCCAATCGTTAATACTAGTTTGTATCAATCTTCTCGGTCAATATTTAAACATGAAAAAATATTACAAGTTCATCAGGTACGACGATATATTTTATGTATATTTTATCTTTTATAAAGTTCTATTTTTCATTCTGAGTTTGCTGCAGGGTATTTAATGATGGAAACCTGCACGGTATATTCTTATCTCGAAACTGCCTTCATTTTCATGATGCTTCAGACATTTTTGAGCAAGCAACGCATGTACTTGAAGTTATTCCCATTGTCTCCTATCATGTCGTGTCCCACGACGATATGCGTTCAACATGAATCCGATGCATTACTTAATAGTCCCTCTCCACTCGTATTTACAAGCTATAAATAGTATTGATTAACCGATCGTCGTATGTACACATTATGAATAAAACAGTGTTCGTAAATAGAATAAGCAGTACATGTTAAATGCGTGTCGAAATCAAAGCATAACCTCTGCTACCACCTTTGAAGTGGTGATTTACTGTACTTAATGGTTGCTGGAGTATTACATTGATTCCAAGGTGCGTCTACTGGAGTACCTGAAACGACCTATATCAAAATAGGAATAACCATAAAGTCAGTGACATCCTGTACAGAAATGCCTCAACGAAACACCGTCACTGTTTCTGTGTATTGATGTTCTGCTTGATTTACTGAAAAGGTTTCTTATCGAACGCAGCTCTCAAGCCAAGAGGTTGTTGAGACGTCTTGTTCAGTGCCATTCTTCGGCGCGCCTTCTTGTTGTTGTGACGATCGATGACTTATATGTGACGTATCATTTTGGTTTCAGACCTACGTTATTTGGGTTGTTAAATACGTTGTCTCAGGTATATTCAAGTAAGGTGTGTAAAGTATATAATGCAAGCAAATGAAGGCGCCGTTTCTTTTTGTCACGTTGGTAATGGTGGTTTAGAATTCAAGTCTTTCAAGCCGTTAAATAGCCGTATTATATTCATTGGTTTCACCAAGGTGGAAAACATTTTTTACATGCTTGAGTCCGTTCTTTTCTTACATACAATGACACAATAATAAATCAGATATCAAGTACGTATTTATTTAAGAAGGTAGAATGCGAGTTATGGGGCGTGACTGAAGTTTAGCATTGGCATTCATGATGGAAAGGATTGTGTAAAGTTGAGGTAGGGTAGGAAATTCATTTTATATGACGACGTTGATAGGTGGAGTCACAATTAAAACGGATTACCTAACAGTAATCATTGCTGAATCATAGTGTAATTCATTTCATATATATGCCGTTCCCTAGCCAAGGTGAAAACAAGTGCGGTCTTTTGGTATAACGCCAAATGAAAGATAGCATCTAATGATTACCCATCTGACACCTCGATGATTTCCTTGGTGGAAAATACTATCGTATGAGCAACGGTTAGATATCCCAACCATTTAATCCGGGACACTACACTCAACAATACGTTTCTACAAACAGGCAAAAGTCCAAATAAGTTCATACATTGACTGTCGTTTGTTGAGTGAACCAGGAATCGTTTGTTAATTGTCATTATTTGCGTTTATATATCGAATAACTAACTGAGCATGAAGACATTCCCTTTCAAACACTTTATTTGTTGTGAACGCCTTCGCGGGTTGTTAAAACAAAGACTGATGTAGACGTTTATATTGACTACAAGAGCATCTTCACATAATTCTACTTTCTTCAGCAAATTGTTTTCTGGTACACGCATCTACAGGTTCATGTTATATGTTATATACATGTACTCTTGACAAAAAAGTAGGGGAACTTCATTTTAAATTCACGATTGAAAAAATTGGGAGATATATCGGAGTCAATCAATGTTGATATGATAATAATGAATGTTTTCAGATTGCATCGCCACTCACACTTCCTTATTACCATAGCTGTTTGTTTGTACAGCAATCGCTCCTGAAAGATGATTGGAGTATGGCGTGAAATTTGCATGTGTACGATTTTCATTTTCAAACAAACAAAATCGGTTAGAAACAAACACTTACAACTGTGTCATGCAAGATGATTAAATTCAATGGTCTACAGTGATTTATCGACCTCCTTGAAAACCGTCAAAATCAAGAATGACACCCCATGCACGTGTATGGGGATGCGGCGTTGTGCACTGCTGTGTCGCGCTATCAGCAGTTTCTCAGTTGTTGGTGATGTCGTTGAAGCAGTCTGTCAATATAGAATCGCGTCCAGTGTGTTTTGTGGCCACAGGCCAATATGGCGAGTGAAATCGCTCTACAAACCTTGCTGTAAAGAAACAGACACTTGTCACGACTCTACAAAGCATCGATTGTGGCAGGAACAACCATTATAAACTGTGTTTGTGTTATTGAATGTATTAGCTGATTGCCAAGACACGCATTGTGCAGCTGTATCCGAAATCAATATCATTTTGAGGACACGAATCTTATTTATGTGGAAGGGTATTGTTGTAACATGATTTTATTAATATGGTAACCTGTTAGCATCAAGTACATAAACTGTTTACTTGATAAGAAACATGGATGAATTTATAGTAAAAATCTTTTAATGTGCACGTATTGTCTTTTGAGTAAACATACCCAATTCAACATACCAAATGGATTATCAGATGTTTAAGATGTCAGGATTTGGTCATTCGTTATTATTTGACATAAAACAATTAATCAGAGAGAACAGCTTAAAGCAATTTGCCAGTGGAATACATTTGCTCTAATTGATCCTTAAAAACACAATTATGCAATTCTTAATGACTGTCAGTCGGAGGCGACATTTTCGGAATTGACATAACTGAGGCGTGTTTGCATGTTACATGCATATGAACGATCTTAAACATGCATAACATCGGTGATTACCAAATAAATTGCTTTCTGATTACTTGATCTCGTCTGGTTTAAAATGCTTGATCTCATGACGGTTTGTGTCCGTTACGAATGCACACTCAACGTATCAAGTTATGTGCTGTTTATACCATGTTCATAGAAACAGTCTTCCTGACATTCGCCCTTATGACTGATACATCATAAGTACTGTACTTTGAGACGAACTCTCAATGAATATGTCATAAACTAAACCAGCGTCACGCTGTGTGTATTAATTCGGACTATATTGTTTTGTTCATGGTGGAGATATATTTTTAGCAACTACGGGATTAGATTAATCTGATGTGTGCCGCAAATGGTAAAACACAACAATTTAATATTCCCAGTGTAAGACATTAGATTGGAATATGGTTCAGAACAAAATTTCAATACACTAAACTTTCAATTCACAAAAACTCTACCAATATATAGTCAACATATTTATGTCTATGGTATGGTAGGCGCAGAGTTATAGGTCATGCGGTGTAGTGGTTAGAGCGTCTGCCCGAAGAGCGGGGGTCGAGGGTTCGATCCCCGACCGCGTCATACCAAAAGACGTTAAAATATGGAACTTGTTGGTCCCTGCCTGGCGTTCGGCATCAATGGGTACAACAAGGACTGGTAGGCTCGGAGTCAATATAATGTGTCTGAGTGGGGTATTCATGCTTCACTGCGGCATGTTAGTGTGGGCTAGCACTATAAAACCAGCTTAAGTCTGGGCTAATACAAACACCCGCACATACACATACACACGCATGCACGTCGTCATATGAGTGAAATATTCTCAAGCACGACGTTAAACACAATTTCACCTCACCTCACCAGACGGACCACCTCTCTTTGATCGTCACCTACATCGGTCGATCAGCGATCAATGAATCGTTCCCACGAAGGCAAGGTATCGATCTAGTCACGCAGCCAATGGTTCCTCTTCACACAAATAATATTTTACTTCTCAGATCTCTAAAATACGACTTGTGTTGACTTATCACAACTGTTCTGCTTGCACAAGGTCATCGGTAGATGTGTTACCGAAATTTCACCATTCGAGATGACAGAAGATTAGGACATTTATTCACACACTTTCCACCTGTTCATGATAGTGAGAGATGGGTGTCAAAAGTCATATAGCCCTGGTTCTTCTTGTAATAGACTATGTTGTATCTCTTAACTTCAAGGGTTTCAAGGCAGTGGAGTCATGCCTTGATCCAGATACTTTCAATGGTGGACCTATCGGACGAATTGAAGGCAAAAGGAGTGTTTCATCATGTGCTGTTCTATGCAGCATTAAAGAAAACTGTCACTCCTTCACATTTCGACTTTCCTCTTCAACATGTTTCCTCCATGGTAGATACATCCCTGACTGGCCTTGTGACCCAACAAGCGATGTCCACTACAACGACGTGAGTATCGTGGGTTAAGTTTGAAATAAGGTTGGAAACTACGGTTAGTTGTTGTTGTTGAACGCCGTACTCAGCAATATTCCAGCTATATAGCGGCTGTCTTTAAATAAAAAAAACAGACTGCACTGGACCAGACAGTCCAATGATCAACAGCATGAGCATCGATCCACGAAATTGGGATACGATAACACATTAGAACCAAGTCAGCGAGCCTGACCATCCGATCCCGTTAGTCGCCTCTGACAACAAGCATGGGTTCCTGAAGACCAATTCTAACCCGGATCTTCATGGTTTCCAAACAGGACGTAATCCTGAAAGGTTTAGGTTTTTCTTGTACATTTCCAGCAATGTAACCCTTATAACAACCAAATTGTGAGATCATCAATAGTAGATGATAGTGCCACAAAAAAATAAGATTGAAGATGACAACATCCTTGTCAAAGAGTATACGACTGAGCGATATTTCGCTAAGGCAGTTTCTTGGTTATCTGTATCAAGAGGACTTATCTTTTGGCGTTATAGTACTAGCAGTCGTTGTTGTACATGTAGTACAAGTAGGGTTCGCTCACCATGAACAGTCGGTGGTATCGTCGTATTCACTGTTTGATGGTGATTCACAGTATGACAATTTGTATGCACGAAGTTGATTTACAGGAAGCTTCGATTGTTTTTTTCTAAATGTAAAATCAAATAAAAACTTGATCAAGTTTTACAGGAGAATAGTATACATATGCCTGATATTGTTGTTGCCGTTGGTGTGTATTGAAATATTCATGACGAATACTTGGGACGAGATCCTAATATCTATAAAATTGCCAAACCATATGAGCCCTGAGTAGCCTCTAATATAGCCAAGTTCAATTCGTGTCACGCCTCAAAACCAGACCAAGGGAACACTTTCAAATCTGAAGCCTTTCCCTTGTGCCGTTTGATGGAAATGGAAAAGGCTTTTGGAATAAACCCCAGAGCAAATCTGTCCTTAGACAATCGGGTGTCTTTAACAAGTCTCTGGTACCAAGCAGCAATCGCTTCCGGCTTCCACCTGAAACCATCTACAGTGTGCCCTCCACGTCAGGTTTCCAGGCCTGTACACTTAAGAGAGCAATTCAACGTTGGCTCACAGCGTCAACGTAATAGGAGAACAAACTCCAAGACATGTACCCTGCCACGGGGCTGACTATGGCAGACTCTCGGAGAGCACGGTTTCGGGTTTGCTGTCAAGAACGGGCTGCTTAAAATGGGACAGAAACATTTTCACCTTCCAATTCTTGGTATTGAAAGAGCCTGTCATCCCTATCAACATGTACCCTCCTCCCATCCCATCTGCTTAATAGAGGAGGTAAAGGACCATTTTTACAACCAGCTCCAGAAAGTCAAGGTGATCACCAGTCAGGAACAGTTGACAACAACGCAAGAGTGTTCAAGAATCCTGTCCCTGTTGTCTGAGACAATAATGAAATGGTAACGTGACTAAAAATGGACAACAGCTTCTCGTGCTGTGCACATTCCACATTCCGCGCATCACCAATGCCTTCTTTCATCACCAAGCCGCGGTGCAAAGTGTATTTTGGCACCAGCTCTACCAATCGCAAGCTGGCCACCACTGGAACATCCTTATCACAGATTCTACAATGCTACCTGCTGACACAGGCCATTTGTTGATTTGCTACAGGATCAAACTCCAGCCAAAGATGACAAGCCAAGCAAGGTGAGAAGGAAATTTCGATGTCAGCAATACGTCACATCCGCCAATAGAGTGTTGTACCGGTGCCCTGCAAACAGATCTGGTTACACAGCCTCCACATGGGATCATATGAGAGACTCATATGCTACTGCAGGGTCGGTCTTTGGGGCAAGGTGTGAGAAACACTATTGTTTGAAGCCCACACCTTTGAGTTCATCCCTGTCACTCCGGAAAGGGCAGTTAATTACAATAGCATCAAGAATGCTATCCGTCAAAAGAAAAACGACACCCATCAGATCTTGGCTAAGCATTACACTGAGCTCTGCTTCAGGCAAAAACCAATAAAAGGCTGTTCTGCACCTAACAGAGGTTGAGGAAGTGGACGAGAAACCCTTGTGAACAAGTTGAGCAAGACTATCGAGAGGGACGGAATCCCTCAACAGGCGGTCAAGGGAACGACCCCAGCTGCAAAGAGCAGGAGCAGCCATCCAACACTGCGATCATCTGAGATCGTATAATCACATATTTCAAGGATTGTTACACGCTCCTTAGTATATTCCAGTAATTGTCTACTGGCAGTGAAATCATGTCTTGCATACTTGCCCCACCCTGTCTGGAGTCTTCTTTCCTCCAGCTATCTGATACTCAGAGGCAAAAGTTATTGTAACATTTTTATTATTTTATTGGTAATGTTGTGCATTAAAAATTAGATTTGGACAAGAGAAGGGTGGGGTAAAATAGTCGAAGAAACGCAACCAGGCAGTTGTTCTTCGAAATGCAAGACATTTGCAAGAAGCATAGCATATTCTAGAAAAATGGACACTAATGTTCACTTTAAAACACCAACCAACCAGACGTTTTCCCGCATTTCGTCTCAATTCAGGCTTACGTTCTGGAACAGGTTCGAGATGCCTCTCCTCTGTCAAAATGATAGATGGAGAGCTATCGGGATGCAGCGGAACGTTGCTCGTAAATTCAACGTCCTTGGAATCACGTTTTCAGCAACAAAACTCAAGTTATAGACCGTCCCCGTAGTGGCCGCAAACCAGTAACGACCTTCTTTGAGTGGCATCTTGAAAAAAGAATTTGTTCATCCATAAACTTTGTCCTTACCAGTAACGACCTCACGTTAACACCAATGCATTCGAACCACCTCCGACACAGGTTCCAGCCAGCAGCCCTTACAGCCCGAACCATCTCCGACACAGGTTCCAGCCAGCATCCCTTACAGCCCGAACCACCTCCGACACAGGTTCCAGCCAGCATCCCTTACAGCCCGAACCACCTCCGACACAGGTTCCAGCCAGCATCCCTTACAGCCCGAACCACCTCCGACACAGGTTCCAGCCAGCATCCCTTACAGCCCGAACCATCTCCGACACAGGTTCCAGCCACCAATCCTTACAGCCCGAACTACCTCCGACACAGGTTCCAGCCAGCATCCCTTACAGCCCGAACCACCTCCGACACAGGTTCCAGCCAGCATCCCTTACAGCCCGAACCACCTCCGACACAGGTTCCAGCCAGCAACCCTTACAGCCCGAACCACCTCCGACACAGGTTCCAGCCAGCATCCCTTACAGCCCGAACCACCTCCGACACAGGTTCCAGCCAGCATCCCTTACAGCCCGAACCATCTCCGACACAGGTTCCAGCCACCAATCCTTACAGCCCGAACCATCTCCGACACAGGTTCCAGCCACCAATCCTTACAGCCCGAATTACCTCCGACACAGGTTCCAGCCAGCATCCCTTACAGCCCGAACCATCTCCGACACAGGTTCCTGCCAGCATCCCTTACAGCCCGAACCACCTCCGACACAGGTTCCAGCCAGCAGCCCTTACAGCCCGAACCACCTCCGACACAGGTTCCAGCCAGCATCCCTTACAGCCCGAACCACCTCCGACACAGGTTCCAGCCAGCATCCCTTACAGCCCGAACCATCTCCGACACAGGTTCCAGCCAGCAGCCCTTACAGCCCGAACCACCTCCGACACAGGTTCCAGCCAGCAACCCTTACAGCCCGAACCATCTCCGACACAGGTTCCAGACAGCAGCCCTTACAGCCCGAACCATTTCCGACACAGGTTCCAGCCACCAATCCTTACAGCCCGAATTACCCCCGACACAGGTTCCAGCCAGCAGCCCCTACAGCCCGAACCATCTCCGACACAGGTTCCAGCCAGCAGCCCTTACAGCCCGAACCATCTCCGACACAGGTTCCAGCCACCAATCCTTACAGGCCGAACCATCTCCGACACAGGTTCCAGCCACCAATCCTTACAGCCCGAATTACCCCCGACACAGGTTCCAGCCAGCAGCCCCTACAGCCCGAACCATCTCCGACACAGGTTCCAACCAACATCCCTTACAGCCCGAACCACCTCCGACACAGGTTCCAGACAGCAGCCCTTACAGCCCGAACCATCTCCGACACAGGTTCCAGCCAGCATCCCTTACAGCCCGAACCACCTCCGACACAGGTTCCAGCCAGCATCCCTTACAGCCCGAACCATCTCCGACACAGGTTCCAGCCAGCATCCCTTACAGCCCGAACCACCTCCGACACAGGTTCCAGCCAGCATCCCTTACAGCCCGAACCACCTCCGACACAGGTTCCAGCCAGCATCCCTTACAGCCCGAACCACCTCCGACACAGGTTCCAGCCACCAATCCTTACATCCCGAACTACCTCCGACACAGGTTCCAGCCAGCAGCCCCTACAGCCCGAACCATCTCCGACACAGGTTCCAGCCAGCATCCCTTACAGCCCGAACCATCTCCGACACAGCTTCGAACCACCAACCCTTACAGCCCGAATTACCTCCGACACAGGTTCCAGATAGCAGCCCTTACAGCCCGAACCATCTCCGACACAGGTTCCAGACAGCAGCCCTTACAGCCCGAACCACCTCCGACACAGGTTCCAGACAGCAGCCCTTACAGCCCGAACCATCTCCGACACAGCTTCGAACCACCAACCCTTACAGTCGGAACATCCTCCGACACAAGTTACAGCCACCAACCCTTACAGCCCGAACCATCTCCGACACAGGTTCCAGCCACCAATCCTTACAGCCCGAATTACCTCCGACACAGGTTCCAGCCAGCAGCCCCTACAGCCCGAACCACCTCCGACACAAGTTCCAGCCAGCATCCCTTACAGCCCGAACCATCTCCGACACAGGTTCCAGCCACCAATCCTTACAGCCCGAATTACCTCCGACACAGGTTACAGCCCGAACCACCTCCGACACAGGTTCCAGACAGCAGCCCTTACAGCCCGAACCATCTCCGACACAGGTTCCAGCCAGC